TCAACGCGGGAGATTTTCTACCGAAACAGATTTTTTTGGGCGTAAAAGGCAAGATCGCGGTGAAAATTATGTGAATGGATCATTAAGAATCTGTGATGACATCAGGTTTTGTGAAAAGGGTAAGCATGTTCTGCCCTAAAACATCGTTAATTAGAAGACCTAGGACCATGGAAGATATATCGAGTTACCGGTAGATTGAAACAAGCGGGGTGAGAAAATCTGATTTTTACTGATTCGGCAGGGTTTATCGTCTTAAGGGCATGTCTTCATCTGGCCTACTCCTCATATCGCCTACACTACTATCAAAACGAATTTATGGATGAGTGCACATCACACTTGTACCCTTATCCCTTAAGTAAAATGAACTCTTCCAACAAAATAACAAAGAATGTAAATGACTTTTGATACTGGAATTTCATTTTGTATATGAGATCATCTTCACAACTCAAATGTTTTCAGAACATTAAATATCATAAATATTATCATAGCAGTGTACATTTATATCCATCATCTTCATGTTTTATAACATTAGCACTACATCATTACTAGCAAAATTACTGTAATTTGATGAAATGTCCAACTGCATCCAGAAACTGGATCACTGATCTTCTGCCAGTAGCAAGCTGCTGCTTCAGTCTCTCGATCCTTGCACCTCGGTCTCTGTTAACACCAGCACGAGGTCTCATGGCATCGGATTAGTTCAAAGGCCCATGTACTCAGGTCATTAATTCATATTAATGAATGAAATCATTAATGGGTTAATGGACAGTACCATTCTACACAACAGGGGTGAGGAAGTAACCATTTGTATTTAGTGAAGGCCATATGAGGTGTAGGCGATATAAGGTGTAGGCCAGATGAGGGCAAGCACGTCAAAGGAGTTCGGTTTTATAACGACTTTTCGATGTTAATGAAATCGCGCTACCAAGAGACACGCAGACATTTGCCATACGGGAAACCCCCTTCAAACCTTACTTGTCTGATTATTCATTATAGATCACTCGTTTAATTGTTGTTCACGGTAAACGTGCACTTTTTGTCACTTATTATATTAATTCCACAGCTAGTAGAATCCGTTGTTTCACTTGTATCTTTGGTTTTAGACAGTTTATCGCACACGGACGCACACGGAAAAAAAGGCCCTGAAAACAAATTTCATATTGTCAGTGACTGGCAGAATGAGATACAGTGATACTAACTGTGTCATGACTGTGTATCAGTGTAATGACCGATATGTTAACCTAAGCCATATGTTCCCGTGTTTTTTAGGGGAACACTGGACTTGCCTTTGCATGTGTTTGTGCCGGCTTTCACCAACAAGTAATTCAAAAATACACGATTATGAGACAGTCGGACAATGGACTATGCTTTTAGCAGAGATTTCGTTGTCAGACAACACACACTCACATTTGTGTACAAATTGAGAGAGTGGCGGGTGCTACCAGTAAGGCAGCACATGTTGACCCTTTTCACGAATCCCTGGTGTCACTACAGATTTTTTTCTGATTAACTATAAGCTTCAACACAAAGTCTCTACCTACAACGTGGTGCTATTTAACTATAATCTTCGATACATCGTCTCAGCCTACAACGTGATGCATGTTCAACTATAATCTTCAATGCATCGGCTCAGCCTAGAACGTGATGCATGTTCAACTATAATCTTCAATGCATCGGCTCAGCCTAGAACGTGATGCATGTTCAACTATAATCTTCAATACATAGTCTCAGCCTACAACGTGATGCATATTTAACTATAATATTCAATACATCATCTCAACCTACAACGTGATGCATATTTAACTATAATATTCAATACATCGTCTCAGCCTACAACGTGATGCATGTTTAATTATAATCTTCAATACATTGTCTCAGCCTACAACGTGATGCATGTTCAACTATAATCTTCAATACATAGTCTCAGCCTACAACGTGATGCATGTTCAACTATAATCTTCAATACATTGTCTCAGCTTACAACGTGATGCATGTTCAACTATAATCTTCAATACATTGTCTCAGCTTACAACGTGATGCATGTTCAACTATAATCTTCAATACATTGTCTCAGCTTACAACGTGTTGCATGTTCAACTATAATCTTCAATACATTGTCTCAGCTTACAACGTGATGCATGTTTAACTATAATCTTCAATACATTGTCTCAGCTTACAACGTGATGCATGTTCAACTATAATCTTCAATACATTGTCTCAGCTTACAACGTGTTGCATGTTCAACTATAATCTTCAATACATAGTCTCAGCCTACAACATGATGCATGTTCAACTATAATCTTCAATACATTGTCTCAGCCTACAACATGATGCATGTTCAACCATAAGCTTCAATACATTGTCTCAGCCTACAACATGATGCATGTTCAACCATAAGCTTCAATACATTGTCTCAGCCTACAACATGATGCATGTTCAACCATAAGCTTCAATACATAGTCTCAGCTTACAACGTGTGTAAATATAAGCTTCAACATTTAGTTTCAGCCTACAACTTAATATCTTGAGGTACGTTATGATAATTCTATATACACAGAATGGGTTTGTGAACACTACGAACACCTGGTGTCATGATTATAGCTATTTGATAGTGATTCATACACACAAGCTTTTGATACAGTCGGAAACGTAGATTTCTGACGAATATGGAAACTATGTTTTCGCTTTTATCGTAAGCAACATTTTTAGTAACTGTTTCCTTTTGTCATTGCAAAGCAGTCATTATTTCCACGCTCCAATTTTACTGTCACACCTATATCGTACCTACATATAGCTTTAACATAATTTGCAAACAGGCTACTATGTACATACATAACACTCATTGGTATCTACAGATGTCGACAGATACTGACAAATATTTTATTCCATTTCAAATCGAGTAAACTGTTGAAAATATGATGTAATGATTCATGAATACATGAAATGTATTACTGTGGTTATACAAAGAAAGAAAAAAAAACAAATAGACAGACAAACAAACAAACAAACAGTAGTTAGCCAGCTGTGAGAGTGTGTCACACAGTGCGTGTTGATTCACGTCTGTCTGGAGTTTGCCTGTACCGATTCATTTATTCACGATCATAAGACTCAATCAATGGGCATTTATACAGTGGCTATAAGCGATATAGATACAATGAAAATACAGAACGATACGAGACAGTGACAGGGTTACTCGGGTATGGTAGTGTTGTAACAATTCCTTTCACGTTAGGGAGAGGGAGTTGGGTGGATGGAGGGCTGAGGGTTGGTGGCGTGGGGTCAATAGTGCAACTGATAATGTTGTTTTGGGAGTGTGGGTGGAGGTTACTGAAGTATGGGTTGGGGTTTGTAAGCTTAACTTGTATGTATTTGTAGATTGGTGTGGTCGTGGGCAGGTGGGTTTGATATCTCATTTTTGCGTTGATTTTAGACGGATGTCTTTGCATCGAATATATTTCGAAGTCAAAGAAGTGAATTAAAGAGTGGTGAGTGTAGAAATGAACAATTAACATTGGTCGCATTGCACCTACTCCCAATCTGTTTGATGTTCAATCTGATTCATTAATATTCAGGTTTAGTTGTATAATATTGTATAACTTACAAGCAGCTATTTACAAAAGAATAATACTAGTTTAAGTCAAATTAAGGAGTTTAATAATTTCCTAAGATGAAAATCTCACGACCGCGATGATAAACAAAATGTTGGAAATACCATATGCCACACATAAACATGTGAAAAACATATATTTTCTTGAGGAAAATGGTGATTATTTGTAGTATTTAAAAGGAGAGTCAAGAGGAATAGAAATGAAATGAAAGTTTCCATCGACCTTACAATATTGGAAACATTCAAAGACCAAGGCTAAATAAAGCACAAAATACCAATTCTTGAATATCTTCTTCTCCAATAAAGAAAGTAAGAATACTAACTAATCCTTCAACAGATTCTGTTTCTGCACTGTTGACTAAGTCAACGCATTATTCAACATATTCTGTTTCTGCACTGTTGACTAAGTCAACGCATTATTCAACATATTCTGTACCCGCATTGTTGACTAATTTAACGACTGAGGCTCTTGTGTCTCGTGTGTATTGAATAAACAATTTGCCCAAACAATACAAAATCAATATCACACTTCCTTTGTAAGTCTAAATAAAGGTGAACAATGATAATTTGCTTAACTTTGGCGTCACCCGAAGCTATATTAGCAGCTCATTACTCAAAAAATGAAAATATACACAACAAATATTTGGTCATTGCTACAAAACACGCATTTTATTGCTGTCAATTGGAGAGCCTAACAAATTATATATTTCACAACAAATTAATTTCAGGACGTTCATCTTGACAACGAGATATGTTTTGAGTAAACACTGAGGACAATTTATTTTTCTGATATGTTCGGTCCTTTCGCAGATGTAGGCCAGGTGTACTACCATCCAATACAGCCTAGTCGTCTCACGGTGAAGATAATAGGCCATAAGCATGTGGACGCACTGGATCGTGAAGTAGAGAGCAGGCAGGTTGGTGGCGTCAACATAGGAATTATTTGTCGCCTTGACAAGCTAAAACACATCCTGCACGCTACATATACAACACATAGAATCATATTAACACCCTTCTTATTCCCGTAGTGGGAATATTGAACCTGAAATGAAAATGATAACCCCAAACGGCATTGCATCGACAAAGTGTTTATAACAGTCGGATTGACAATGTGTTACAACACTAGCCAGCCTCGATTTTGTCTAATGGATGCATTTCCAGCCAAGCGAGGACAAAGGGGATCTCGTGACGATGGTTCTGAGGTCAAATATTTAGAGGTATATATTGTGCTGGTACAGCAAAACTAAGTTATTTGTCCCGGTCGGGGTATATGTACACTTCTCTGAATTGACCGCGTTCTTATTCCCAGATATAGTATAATTAATACATCAGCTTACATGTTAAACACACCAGGCTTTCAGCAGCGGTTCCGGTTGAATGATATCGTTAAGAAACCCGTCAGATGACATATCAATCTTGTACCTGCTACAACAAATAGGCCGCAGCAATATACGGGACGCACCAGGGGTGAATATAAATAGCAGAAGACCCTTTCATAAGTACTTTGAAGAACACAGTTACACCACAGCCACAACACATATGTATTGACGTGCTCATACACCCGATCTACCAGTCGCAAACCTGTTTCGTCCCTCAACTTCTAAGAATGGAAATACCTCCGCTGGATACACGTCTGCGGGATAACATGATATCGCTTCTATGTTTCCCATGTAAATGTTATTGATTCCATTTATCTATTGGATGGGGAATATGTGTTTTTTCAATGTCTGCTGTGTTCGTCGGCTGTGAGTGTAGACAGGAGGCTGATTCCAGCTGACGGTGGACCAAATACAATGAAGAGGAGAAAATGCGTCGCCATGTTGGTGTTCTCGTGGGCTATTGTTGTGGTGTTAACATGCATCGGCATGGCGGAAGGTTGGTGTCTTGTAGGATTTCTTTTGTTTTCCTAAGTTAGATTTACAAATTAACGAGTCTGGTGTGGGTCACATGCCATTTCGTCACATTCCTGACAGTGTCATAATGTTGCACATACCGGCGAAGTGAGTCACGAACGTCAACTTGCTGTCTTCTCGTTGTGTGTTCTCTACCCATGAATGCATTTCTACTAGGTTCTATCATTTGCACGAGAGCATTCACCCTATACCATTCACCCTATGCATACTATAATGAATTGTTCGAGCCAGGATATAAACCTTATCCCAAATGTGATGTACTTCACACAACATGCTATTTGGACTTATTCGATAGTCAATCGGACACGCGCATGGGCATTTACGATTTTATTGAACTTTCCACAATGCAAACTCGTGCATTAACATGTGTACAAATCATTCCGTACTTAAATGCGTTAGCTCTTCCTGGCAGGGTCATGGCATGACCATGGTTCGAGTTTCATGCATGTAAAACGTATGTATTGACGTCCTCGCTGCGATATGAATTCAAAAGAACTTCAAACGACTCATTTACAAACATACCATATATGTCATGTATATGGTTGAAGAGTGATGGCGTAGTCTGACCAAATCAGTTGGCTTATTCCTTATGCTACCAGGCTCTCCCAGTTGCATTTGAGACGATATCTAGTAATGGTTATAACGTGGCGTGTTTCAAGCATAAGAGTTGAGTACATTTAATTTTATGGCCTAAGTCGTTGCGTCAACTCAAAACGAAGCAATGATCGGAAATAGACCAGGGTAGTATCGTACTTTACTGGAGACATGATACACTGGCTACGTTTTACCAATGGAACAGTGCACGGGCTCTTAAATATGGCATTTTTATATTATTCAACAGGTTTGACCACATGTCTGGATGATATAGTTTATCAGGATGGAAGGATCAATCTGAACATCGCTCTGTCCGAGCTGAATGGATACAATGGGAACTGCTCTTGCAAATTACAGAGGGTCAATATCGACTCTAATGTGACAATTACGGCCAACGATGTAACTAAAATGTGTGAGGTTGGTGTATTGACAATATCAACCTGGGATATATGTGAACAAGTCCAGCAGGGAGTTACAACATGGAACCTATACCTTTCTGTTATTGAGCAGAAGATATTGCTTGACGTAACAGACAACAAGAACCAGTCTGTTGGGGGAATGATAAGCTTTACATCATTAAGTAAGTTACAACATTCTTCTTGAAAGCATAGTTTAAATGATGACAGATAAATGTAAGTGTAATAAAACATTCATATCTGGAAACAGAACCCATTCTAATTGTACATAAAACCCATTCCACAGTGTTATGAAATCTCTGCTGTAAGGAGAGTCCATTATACGATTCCAACTATATAATAATCACATGTTTATGAATCACTATCAAATAGGTCAGCTTATTTTACCCCATATGAGGCTACATGCACATGTCACAAACATGCAAAGGCATGTCAATTGTTTTACTAAAAAGACACGGGAACAAATGAGATTGATGACAATCGAGAATTGCATTGAACATATTTTTTGTCAGAAGCCACCATAACAGGTTATAAATGTTGTTATCCCGAAAGCAAGAGTCGTGTGACGCTCTTTGAAATCTACCTAGAAAGAGCATGTTGACTAACCTCATAATTTGTGAAAAGTAGACCCTAAAGGCTGGAGCTGATGGAATTTCGACCTATAAAATTTTGCATTTGCTAATCTGTCACAGAATATATTTATATCTATATTGCTATTCTGACAAAACTATAATACCTTGAGGTTTTGTTATTGATTGTACTATTAAATCACGATATGTTAGGAGTTATTTATTTAGTCGTTGAATGTCATTTAGAATTGACACACATAAGGGTGAGAATGTATAGGTGTCATCTTCTTTATTATCAGGAACACAACGTTTCGGAGCATATACCAACGCCTTCATCCCCTTCACCTTTCTTCATCTTCCTTCATCAGGTGAATCATTCACCTGATGAAGGAGTAAGTATATACTCCGAAACGCTTTGTTCCTCATAATAAAGAATTTGACATCCATAAATTCTCTTGCTAATCTAAATATATTATTTGCTATTTTGAGTGAGATTTCAGAGAGGGAAAATAGCCGGCTGAAAGAGAATGTCAACATTAGGGTTTCACCTTGTCCATTTTCAGAAACCATAAGTCTTCGGTGTCGAGGAGCCAATGTGATTATACCGGAAACAACAACGCCAAAAATAACAACGACACCCATCACGACGACAACAACGGAAGGGCCCATTGAAGGGACACGTAAGCTCAATAGTTACATTTGTTATACTTGGTATAAGACCAGAAGAATTGTATAAATGCAGCGTAACATCAACCTCCGTCAACCACAATCTATGTCAATACATTTGGCACAGTTGAGCCCTCATTAGCAGCCTTCCTTGGCGTGTCAGCCCTGTGTTAGTAGGTTTCACCCAAGTTGTAAACGTCTACGATCTTGGTCAATTTCTTATTACCGACTAGCGTAACCCGTGACACACTGCAATATTCTTCAAAACGGCTTTCGTCCAAACTAAAGTACAGACATAACTACAGTACAATATTAAATGACATATCGTTAACTGGGAAGCAATGTTATACTTATCCTTCGAGTACATACAACACCAGGCTATATTCATTTTTTCGCTGCCAAGCTCCAGTTCAATGTGAACTGTGGTCGTCATCCGTACACATGTGGTCACAGGAATCTTGTGACAAAGCAAACAAACTTGATCAAATATTGTACGATAATGTTGTGAGCTTGTATTGGTTTTCACAACATTAATTCTATTTCGGACATAAATAATGTCATATTTTTTCTAGAATAACGTACATTCCAACACCAGACTACACAAACAATGGAGATACTTTTGTGATCACGAAACGTTTCAAAGGAGTAAATCCCATTTTTCTTGTTTGAAGGTATCAGATTTTTTTTAGGATTCAGCTCGCAGCAAATAAACTGTCGTTTGTTGTCTGGTCTTGTTTATAAAAACACACACCATAAAATGAAGGTAATTATTGATGATAAGGCAAATACAATCATAAACAATAGTGAGTGAGTGAGTGAGCGAGTGAGTGGGGTTTAACGCCGCTTTTAACAGTATTCCAGTTATATCGCGGTGTGTCAGCTTAATGTGGGAGAAAAGCCCGAAGTACTGCAGGTCTCATCATAAACAATAGAATTGAAGGTAAGATCTTTGTTCGCACTAGGAAGATGTTTTGGTGCAAGTTAAAGCACATGCTTCATAAAGGTGGTAGGAAATGTTAAAAACCAAATACTAGAGTCTGAATCTATACCGCTAGGTGTGAAATACCTGTATGGCCTGGTTCGTGTGTAATTGGAATAATTCTAGGAACAATTTGGACAGTTATTTGGGTTTGGTTGACGTGATACTGAGTGTAGAAACATGATATGTTGATGGTCCAAACGTAATGAAATATACAGAATTTACCTAATTTCCTCCAACAAAACTCAAGTAGAATGATGGTCAAGTAACACAACATTCTACACATGATGATTTACTGTCCGTTTAGTAAATGTAACCACCAATGAGGATGTTTTACGATTTGGTTAACTTCCACAAAGTTGTATTCAGATAAATGTTTCCAATACATGTTCAACATTGCCGGAGATTCCAAGGCAGGAATGTCCGTGCACATTATCTCATACTTGTTGTAAGAGCCTACTTATCAGGATAGGGCGCTTACAATGTGTACAATGAGTGATTGTATGTCTTCATGCTCCGCTGGTCGTTCCTCAGACCTCCGGGTTAATATATGCACAGGCTGCTGTGACATAAAGCTGGACCAATGCAGTCTGCGAGGGAGTAAAATATCCGCTTACTGTCTGCAGCATTCATCGGCTCGTACAAGTAACGCCCATATATGGTGCCCCTCGCAGTGATATTGCTGGAATATCGCTACAGGCGGCGTAAAACCACGCTCACTCACTCAGTCATATTATGTGTCATGATGTACAACAAACCTCCTTCCTCTCTTTCTCTCTCTCCCTCACTTTCTTTCTCCCCCTCTCTCTCCCCTCCCTCTCGCCCTTCCCCCTCCCTCTCCTCCTCCCTCTCCGCGCTCTTTCCCCCTCTCTCTCCCTCTCTCCATCCCTCCCTCTCTTTCCTCTCCCTCTCTCCCTATCTCCCCTCCCTCCTTCACTCTCTCTCCCTCCATCCTTCCCTCCCTCCCCTCCCTCGCTGTCTCTACCTCCACCCCTCTCTCTCTCTCCCTCCCTCTCTCTCTCCTCCCTCCCTCCCTCTCTCTCCCTCCACCCCTCTCTCTCCCTCTTTCAATCCCTCCCTCCCTCCCTCCCTCGCTCCCTCCCCCTCATCCCTCCCCCTCTCTCCCTCCCTCGCTCTCTCTCCCTCGCTCTCTCTCCCTCCCTCTCTCCATCCCTCTCTCCCTCGCTCTCCCTCCCTCGCTCTCTCTCTCTCCCCTCCCTCCCTCGCTCTCTCTCCCTCCCTCCTCTCTCCCTCTCTCACCCTCCCTCGCTCTCTCTCTCTCTCTCTTTCTCCTAGAGAGAGAGAGGAACGTGGACAATGTAAACTTTAATGTAAAGCCAATATAGTTTATATTCTTATGTTTTCAGTTCTGGCTTCAGCGTTCGGTGTGTTTGGTGGATTTGTCATATTGCTTGTACCAGTATTTCTCTGTGTAAGATACAGGTATGCCCATATTTGAATTATCGAAACTCCGCACGGCATATTGCCTTACCATTAAGAAACAAGTTGCGTCGGCGAACTATTTATATCGTTAGGAGCCCTGCAAACAAAGCCAAAAAGAACAGTGTTGTGTTGTTATTCAATTACTTCATTTCGAAGACAATGTATAATAACAGTAATGAAATCTTCTTTTTGCAACTCGTAAAATTGAATAGAATGTGCTTCAATCGTTCTTTAATGCCGGTCTTCAAATCTGAAACATACTTAACGTATTTCCTGTAAACCTATTGCAGAGAAAGGAGGAGAGAGAAGCACAACGCAAAGAAGGCAAATGCAGAACAATCAGTACAAGCCGTAGCAAGGGAAAACAAAGACCCAGAGATGCTGAGGTACTCATGGTTTAAAACTCTGACTATTAGGATAAAGCGACTCTACTATGGAGAGCCTAGACGAGGAAGGTCGCGGAGCCGAAGACGTCCAGCGCCCACAGGCTCTCAGGCAGGAAGAAGGTTTCGGAAACTGTTTGCCAGCAGGAAGGGTTCTCCTAGTTCTACAAGCACTAACAGTTTAAGCGCCAGTCAGGGTCCAGATAACAATGTGCCTGAAGTTCTAAATGAAGAAGATAATGACGATGTCTTTGATGTCGTGAGTCCCCAACAAGGTGGTGGAATTTTCATGGACCGGTGCAGTTTCAATGAAGAGCTGATGGACGTTCCTGAAGAGGCGTCCACCTCGGTAGATGTCCATTACGATTCTCTTGTGCCAAACCAGCATGCCGGTGACGATAATCAGCATGACGTGAGTGATGAAACAGTTGAAGGAGAATTGGTTAATTCCTTGTTCTCGGGTGTGGGTGACGATGAGGATACCGAGCACTCTCCCGGCATAGGGAATCTGAAAGTGGACGTGGAAGGTTCAATTGAGAACAACAACGGTCTCACTGAGACTCAAAGGAAATATCTCGTTGGTGACGAACAGGTGACCGCAATTCCTGATTCTGAGGTCAATCAAGACAAAACGAACGGGACAGGAATATTAGCCAATGGCCACCCCCCTGACTATGTCAATGCAATGTATGCAGTGCCTATCAAGCCACCTAAAAAGGCAAATGGTACCTCACATTTAAGAATGTAACGGGTGGATTGTGCCTTGGCTGGATGTATATATCTTTAATGAGTATGTGTTGAAAAAGTAGAGTGAAACAAACAAAGCCAAAATAGACGGTTTCATTCGTATGGATACCATGTTGCACTTGTGTTGAGCTATTATGCTTGTTGAAACATGATACATGATGTTTTTAAATACTTCACCAGCTACCGGTGATGGCGCTTGCTCAATATAATACAGGAGAGTGGGAGAGTAGTAAACAGGAAACTGAGTTTAATATTATGTATATTTGTAGGAGTAACACGAACCTTAAATGCAAAATTATAGCATGGGGAATGTTTAGATTCTTTGTTTTGAAATTGAAAATTTCCAATTTAAACTCTTATATTATCTGACACTTTTGCTGTGTCAGGAAACAAACACTTTTCATGCACATTGTGTGAGTGGGGGTACTACCGGGTGGGTAGGACATGCTCATCCTTATTATGAACACCTGGTGTCGTCATCGATTTTCAGTGATCCATCCAAATAATTCCCACCGCTATAACACGCCTAATGGAATCTGTTCGAGACTGATTATTCTCTGGCGTAGACGTGTTGTATTTGCATAAATATAACACGTCAACGCCAGGGAATATCCTGTCCCAACGCCAAAACAAATTCCATAGGATTTTAAACTCAAACAGCACTAAACATTATATGACTGGACCACTGAAAATCAGTGACACCAGAAGGTGTTCGTGGTAAGGATGTGCTCCGCTACCGAACAGCAAAGGTCAGCTTCTGATTTTGTTCAGGTTTAATTCAGTTCTTTACCCTACTGCAACACGTATAAAAAAGCAATTTGTCGAATTGACTTATTCTTTTCGCCATATATTCGTAAATCAAAGTGAGTGTAACTTTATAAGAACAGTGCTTTACGAAAGTATACATATAGTTTCTTCCCATGTGAAGCATCAGTTGGGTGATACGCTATAACCAACAACATGGATCTTTGTGTGAGATGTCTTGTTCACCCATGTGTAATGTATACCCGGATTTACATCTTTCGCGACATATTTTCATTGGAATTTGAAATAAATGGGCTTGTGAATGTATTCTGTGATGCGAAGAAACACCCTTAATGTGTCTCTCCCACTGACAGCTGTGCTTTAGCGTTGATGGGCCAGAGGCTGTTCAGTTTTCCAACGGTCGGTGTACATTCTATTGACCGTTGTGGAACCCGGCCCAGTCACGATCGCTGTGTAGGTTTGGGCATGTTGTCTGTATGCGTGGGCCTACTGTATGGAAGTATTTTATCATACCTTTACATTTATTCAAACCCTCTATGAAAACACGGTTCTATTATTATCAGCACGTACCTCTGTGTCCAATGTTTGTGGACTTAGGGTACGTAAACCAGTTAGACAAGTATGCCTCTGGGAGTGATTATGTTTGGAGTGTTGTCCTCAAATACACGCATACATTTGAACCCTGCATACACTCGCAAACATTTCCATCCGAGGTGAACGTTGTGTGTCGTGGGAACAACTCACTCGTGATACATCAAGAATTTAACGAAGACGCGTGCACTTTGTTTTCATATCATCATATACAAAATGTTGTACTATTTGGCTATCTGAATTTGAACAGTAAACGTACATTTTGTATAACTATGTCACTAGCATATTGTGCATGTATGTATGCCCAAATCATGTTACAGTAAACTACGGTTATAACGAACACGCTTATAACGAACTGACGGATATAACGAACTTATTTTTTAGTCCCGACTATTTGCTGTAGTTGTACCGTATATATGCTTATAACGAACTACGGTTATAACGAACTAAAAACAGTAGTCCTTTTGAGTTCGTTATAACCGTAGTTAACTGTATTTATGTGAAAAATTCTTGGACGTTGAAAATGAATGTAACAACAACTGACTTCATTTTATCTATAAAATCTCAAACGAGCACCCGAGGTTATTGACTTTAATTGATTCCATTATGTAAGCAATTAGTCAGAGGTTTTATTATAGCCTGACTAGGACGATAAAACACGCTCCACAGACGCTCAGTAAAACGCTACTATGTAGTTAAAACATAATTTTTCTCCTTCAAGTTATAAATAGTATTTTTATTACCTATAGTGTATAGTTCACCACGATCGAAGGATAACATACCAATTTTTTAAAGGCCTACGGGTCATTAGGTTACCTAGAATGCCATGGCGACGGTCATATCGATGAGACAAACAATAACGCTTGTTCGGGCGTCTTGATCCGGCAGAAATGATGTTGATGGAAAAATAATTTGTCCCAACCGTCGTTGCATGTCATGAATTTTGTATGTGTAGTAACCTGTTCTAGATAATCGCTCCCTTGTAATGAATACTTCATGAATATAAAATATGATTCTAGAAACTAGACAAATGGAATTTGTATACAGGTAATTTGCATGTCTTTCATCGCTACCGAGATTACCCCACCGAGTCTGGTGATGTACATAATTTGAACACAACACGCTGACATTTCAGAATTGATGCATTGCGTTTTATAATACCATTGCCTAATACATTATACCATCTGTTTTTTCTATTACAGGAGGCAGCAACTGCCTTGTAAATGCTTATAAAACAGGATGTATTTATCTGGCATTCAGATCAAAATGTCTCATGTGATAAAAAAAGCTCTTTGATGTCTAGTATAATGTGATACATTGTTGTGATGCGTATAAGTGTGTATTGTATCGTGTTTTATAGCCTTGTAATTCTGATAAGGAATTCGCCTTGTCAGAATGTTCAATGTACTTAAACTGCAGGACAGTTTGCTATTTGATTATGATAGAGATATGGTACGTATGCTATATTTAAGATATATATACTAGTACAAGTGCTTATGTATGTATTTCCTATGTAAAGATATTACAATTATGCATACATGATTCCTATAATTTTAAATGTAAAACAATCCTATGTTAAATCAAAATATGACCATCAAATGTGTAGATTATCTGTTTACTGTTAATAACAATAACCCCTGGATGATGGAGGGAATGTAGATAATATCAATATACGTGTACATAAATGAATACCGTATTCGACGTAATAAGCGTCCCGCTCTAATAAGCGCCCACGGTGACATTTGCTGATATATTGGCTGGTGAAGAATCCCAATTAGCACCCCTTCCGATTGATCAATGTTCACAAGACTTATTTATTCGCGTTTAATACACACTCGTGTGCTATATATGCACCCTTAATTATGGGCAATAAAGTTCTGGAAAAAATATATCTGTCGTACATTAACATTTCAGACTGTCAGCATGAAATTTATCTTTCAACTCTGTCTTTTTTCACCAAAATAATATTCTAATAAGAGCCCCCTATTTCTAATTTTGAGAGCGCCCTGGGCGCTTATCACGTCGAATACGGTACCCGTTGTTAGTGAAGGAAACAAGACACCCGGTGTTGTGTCTGCTCCTCACCTGGGACGATTGAGTGAGGCTGTTACCTGCTTTGATATTTTTTCCTGTAGCAAATCAACAAGATAAGGCTTCAGAAGTGTACATAGGTGTAGAGTCAAACGCAGGCCCTGGCGTGTGATCACGTTGATCCAAGGGTCGTGGGTTCGAATCCTAGATTCGCTCCGATTATAATACTTTGCCAGTTTCCAATATAGCTGTGTAATGTCATCAACTCATATACTGCCTCACGTTGGGTTGTCCCCCCATAATATGCTGACACACTATGTTTACTCATCTTCTCGAAGCAAGGGAGTTAACTGACTATAAAGTCCAGTTTCCACCCTTGTCGAAACTGGTTGGAATTTCTTGGCTCGTTCGTAGTGGTGATTACCACTAACTGTCACGAGTTATGTCCTTTCTATGTTCCTTCGATTGACCAAACAGACTCCACCTCTCATATCATTTGCATTTACTTAAACAAATTGGCGGCACTCATTCAAAACGATCTGATCGATAATCAAGATCTATATTGTAAAAAAAACCCGGGTCTTACGTCGCGAGGTGCATGGAATGGAACTGGACTTTTATAGTCAGTTAGCGCCCTTGCCTCGGGAAGATGTGATCACTCAACTGATATTTTATACGGATCTCAACCCTATCCAATTCACATTAGGTTTCCCATGGAATGAAGAGTAATTGATCTCAACAGTGGCAACTGCAATTCTATTGTACATTCCTTAAAAACGTACATCCGTCATATAGTTTCCATTAACGAAGGACTGGATGTAGCACGTGTGATGAATACTACTATATGCAGGCATCGATGAAGCATTGGACTAACAGACTCGTATGGTGATTAATGTCCCGATTGTCTTGAATTACGGCATTCCATTCTATGTTAGAAATACTTGGAAATCTGTGCCTAGATTATAACAATTGTTTGATATATGTGACATTCTATTTTTCTATATTATACAATGTTATATAGTAAAAATTGTTTTGTTGTGTTTACAGATAACCATTTATATGTGTCAACGTTATAACTTGTATTCAAATGCAGGAACACGACTCAGTGTTAAAAGTCATGAGCTGTTTATTAGAGACGTGCAATTTTCAAAAACGTGATATCAGTTTTCTTATACAAGATGAGCTCACTTTGTCACTAACATGTAGTATTAACTCCATTTGAAAGTGCTTTTCAAAATACATGCTCATGATGTAGTCATAATAGTACCATGAATTATTCTTAATGTTATAGAAGTTGATGTCGCTTTTGATATACAAGATACGGCGAAGCCCTATTACCTCGAACGCCATTATCTCGATATATCATGTATTGAGACAATGTGACACTGTGGTTCATTATCAGTGCATCGCTTGTTTCGAACTACGCGTAAATCGATGACACCAAGTATTGACTGTCGAATACCCGAATGCCCGGCGTGTGTCGAAATGTTTCTTTTTATCCGTATTTCGATACAAATAGAGTTTCTGTGTAAAACAATTTAAGGAGTTAAAAAAGTTGACAGAACCGAGAATTTGATGTCTTGGGTTGGAGAATATTAATTATTCGCTGGTAAAATGCGTGTTGTGAAGCCGTTATCGCAACATATCCTGTTTCTAACAAAATCACTGCGACCACCCCCACCCCCGCAAAACACACACCATCCCACTCATTGTATATTAAATGGAGGATTGCTAACTGTTTGTGGGTTCAAATGAATCAAGGGAAGGGTCTAAGGATTTTGTCACGACAGCGTTACAGACTTGGAACTACATTGTATTATAGCATTGTCCCCCGATCGTTACAACGACGCCAGCCATTCGGCCGCTATGGTATTCTACACACAGCTATAGAAAAGGCAATTACACGGCCCCCATTCAAGTAACGTTTTATATTCCTATTGTCGCGTTGGTCTGTCAGGTATATTTACGTAATGTGCAATAGCTGTTGAGCGGACTTCATTGACAATGGAAGGAAATCAAATCATCCCTTTAAAGAAACTGATCAAGCTATTGCTAATGCATAACTGATCTTTATGGTGGTGACAAGGCGTTATATTAGTGGCATGTTGTATGAATGGAAACACACCTAATGTTGACTGCAGACATCTCCAAGCATTGAGCGTTTGTTATATACTGAATATCTTGACAAAGACATGAGATCTTGCAATCATCAAATAAAAATCACTTATCCATGTTCACAAGACGGCGTAGTAGCCTGGTGGTTGAAATGTTCACACTTCACGCCGAAGACCCGGGTTCGAATCCCTACATGGGTACAAAATGTGAAGCCATTTCTGGTGTCCTTTGCCGCGATATGGCTGGAATACTACTAAATGCGGCGTAAAAGCATACTTACTTGCTCATTCACTGTTCTTCAAAACCATTGTTCATTCTGACAATAATAGGTTTAAACTTTTAATTTGAAATTGAAACAACAGGAACAAAATATTTACCAAAGTAGGGTCACTGCCGCTGTTACGTAATACTAACGTAAATATACAAATTCAAAACCAGTGAATAACCAGTCTCGATTATCCACCGAATAGGATTCCACTGGTCGTTAAAGACAAAACAGCGGCGAAAATTATATGAATGGATCACTGAAAATCTATGGCCTACTATTTTAACAATGACTCTGAACAAAAAGCAGACTGACCTGTCAATACAACCTGATATGACCCGTAACAAAAGCTCTGTTGTGTCAACCAAAGGCGTAGCACACAGATGCGTGACTATTCTCACCCACATCACACCACAACATCATCATTTGAGGCAAACTCTTTTACAGGCGAAAACTACAGTACTGATAAGTTTGATGACATAACGAGTTACTCTTCCAACGTCATGCTTGTACCGATTGCGGAGTCTTGATCGGGAACATGTAAGGCCAACATCACACCAAGACATGGTGCCCCGAGAACAAACGGAAATAATTGAGAAAATGTACGAGTGACAATGAGGACAGCGACAGCAAGGAAGCCGTGCCGCAGCAGAATGGAGACAAAGTCCAAAATGAAAATACGTTTGATTGGAAATGAATGGCAAGAAGTCGGCCTGTAACGTGTGTGGTCTCGTGTCTATAACATGTATCGGGAGAATGTGAAACTTAAACGGAAAAAGCATCGAGATCATGGAAGGTGGATTGATAGGAAACTGAAAAGAAGAAAGGAAGACAAGTTTGTCAATTCATTGACTTGGAATTGTATCCTTTAATTTACAAGCTATTCTCAGTGGCACCATAGTTTCATTCTAGACTGGATGGATTGAGTGACACACGATGAAGCGTCTAAAACGAATAATGACAGTCAGTATATTTCATGTAGATGAGACAGAGGAATAAAGTGTATCTGAATCTGATAATGCTGCTGATGATACGAGTGACCAAGACTGACAATATAAGAAGAGAAGATCTTTAAAGGTTGGACACTGTTACGTCTGCATCGGTTGTGATTGGTTGGTGCCAAATCAGCACCACAAAAATATGTACATTATGTACGTGAACCAGAACCAGTATGATCTGACCAGTCTGACAAAACATTATAATCAACTACAGTGCAATGTCTACAAACTCGGTCTGCCTTGGCTAAGGACAATTCCTAAGAATTACTGGATATGAAGTGCTATTACATTTAAATTAGTGCTTTACCAATTGTATGTTTGTAAACGTCCATAAATGATTTTAACCATCATGTGTTAACACTTCACCCCATTTCTTGTTTATGTATATCTTTCTTTTCTTAGTTTTTTTTATAAGTACCACATCACATGTTATTTTAAGATATAGATGGTTTGTATTTGCGTGACATATTGAACCGAACCGATAGTGTAAAGCGACGGTATCCATACGATCGATACAACTTCGTTGTCAGCAGCTCGCGTTGCCATGATCATGAGGTATGCTCACACCCAGGTTGTAGCTACTTATTCAAAGTAATCTTGTCACAGTTTCCTCAACACAAAGGACTTATCTGGAGGGTTTATAAATACGTTAGGCGGGGATAGCATTTTAGTATGTCGTATTATCTCCAAAAACCACTCTATGCGTGGCTTAGTTAGACAGATTGGCACTCAGCTTAGGAAATAAAGTATGTTTTACTTGACCCCTTACGATAAGTGGGGCATAGACTCTCGTTTCCTACCGGCTATAAGAGTACAAATATTGTGGCTGATTTTGAAAGAATCTTTCCTATAAACTAGATGTTAAACCACGGACTTAATATAATAGGGGGGGGGAGTAACTTTTACAAAGCTGTATGGCTAGACTACTGACAAGTATATTCTTGAAGATCGTTTTAAACAAATACCTAACACCTTCAAAATATATATGCCTGTACTTCAGACATTTTGTATTGTTCAGTACATAATATAAGATACAATACAGCATGGAGTTGGATATTGTTGTATGCGACGTACGACATGTTCTGAGCAGGTTCAGATGTTTATTCAGGAATGTTACAGTCGTTCATCGCATTCAAGATGGCTGACCCCTGGCGAGCACATGTGATATGTCGCACGCGAAGATCCATGCATGTGACGCACCTCTCACGTGAATAGATACCCAACAGAGTTACCTCCCCTACAACAATACGTGCCTGTAAAGCAACGCTACCACAGACATCTAGTATTGTTGTGAGATTTGTTTACGTTACTATATTCTTTCCTGATGTTAATATCACTGGAAGAAGTATTTAAAAAAAATAACAGTTATCCGAATATAATCATACTCTTCTGTTAATATGTTTTCAGGTTCGACCCACTATTATCATATCTTATAGATTAAAATAAATAAATGCAGCAAAGAGGGTTCGGGTGATCTTGGCACAGTCAGGCTGGTTAGGCTCATCATCAGCTCGGGGCCCTTGCCCCCATTTACACACATCCCAGACAGTTAATGAGACTTCTCCTGGGAAGCGTTGTTTATTCGAAACCACCAAGATCGTTTCGGAGAATGTGAAGACTTCCCAACACTACAGCTTTCTGCAGAGTGTCAGGGGGGCTGTGCAAACCCGGGTACTCTCCCAATGTCAGTCAACAGAGAACAACGGGGAGTCGGACAACTTGGTACTTGGGATGCAATCGTCACATTTCATAAACCAGGTCTGCATATTTGCCATGTTTTTCCTGAATCTTGTCAATCATATTACAGTAAACTACGGTTATAACGAACTCAAAGGGACCACTAATATTAGTTCGTAATAACCGTAGTTCGTTATAAGCATACATACAACATAACTACCACAAATAGTCGGGACAATAAAGTAAGTTCGTTATATCCGTCAGTTCGTTATAAGCGTGTTCGTTATAAACGTAGTTTACTGTAGTGTCAAACGGGACAGAGAATTCAATGATATAAATGATTTCATTGGATTTATCAAAAAGGAGATGAGGATCAGGTTCGTTGGCCTTGATATGCCTGAGGTTGTATACGGACCGATAGTATCATTTTCCATGACGCCCTCTACATGTACAGGGTCGTACCATTGATGGACGTCTGAGTCAAAACCACGAGCATGCCGAGGACGGCGATAAAATGATCGAGCCAGGCCATCATATCGCTTAAGGTACTGTGTTCGTGCACAAACCGAGCAACTGCTGACAGTGTAAGACAGTCTCATTACATTCATTCCATAATGAGCACTTCTGTTTCACTTTTCAGGTCAGTCGACATCATTCAAGAAAAGGACTCTGCATTCAGGGTTGCCCGACTTCTCAACACACTGCACATACAGTGGTCGTTCAGTGAGCCTTCCGATTTTATATGACACTTCGCTTGGTTGACACGCATTTCTGTTCCGTCCAGCAGTACAGAACCATCAACAAAATCAACACTGACATTGCGATTATGTCCGGCATCCTTGGCTCGTTTAAGAAAACTGTGGAATGCCTCGTTTTCATCATGACTCTTGACATGCTTCACAAGAGGATCGTCAGACAAATACATGTGTGTAAAAGTGCACAATACAATTATATCATGGCGGTCCTCCACGT